AAGAAAGAAAAGATTAATAAATTGGGACTACTGTGTATTTAAAGATGACCATTCATTAAAAACAATAGAGTGAAAAACCTTAAAGTGAAAGTTGTTTGTAAGATATAACTTCTGTACGGTTAAAATACAAAAATATATAGAACTCTTACAAATCAGTAAGAGAAAGACAAACCCAGTGAAACACTACTCCAAAGACAGGAACAGGCATTTCACAGACAAAGAGATACAAATGGCCCATAAACATTGGAAAAGATGCTCAATATTTCTAGTAATAAGGGAATTGCAAATTAAAAGCCCAATAACATTTGTCACCCACCAGATTGGCAAATGTTAGAACATTTGACTGTAACAAGGGTTGGCCAGAATGTAGAGTCAGGAAGTCCCTCACATAGCTGATAGGAGTGGAAATTAGCGTAACCACTTTGTAAAAGCAAATTGGCAGTGCCTAGTAACACTGAATGTCATAATTTATGACCCAATAATTCCACTCTTAGGAAATTCTTTTACATGGCCAGCAGGAGACACAGACAAGAAAGTTTTATAGCAGCATTGTGACTGAGAGGGAACAAAGGGAAACAACCCAAATATATAAATTAAGATGTAACTGAGCAATGAAATACAATCAAGCCATGAAAAAAATGAGTGAATTTTATCAACATATGCATCAACATGGATGAATTGTAACATAATTTTGAGTAAAAGAAGCCAGTTGCAGAAAAAATATATATGTAAATCTATATAGGTTTTAAGCATGTATTAAATAAATCATGTATTTTTTATAGTACATAATTGCTAAAATAGTAAAATCAAGGAAATGATTAGTACAAAATCCAGGATACTGATAACCAGGAGAGGTGCGGGTATGGTGGGAGTGGGCTGTATTAGATAAGGGCTCACAGCCAGGCTTCCAAGTGACCATAATGGTATATTTCTCAGGCAGAAGAGTGGGTAGATGGGTATTTGTTTTATCACTTTTTAGACTGTACACCCACATTTTATATACTTTTGAAGTATTCTTTTTTAATGTAAGCTGTAATTTTTTTTCCAAGGTGACCTTACTTTATTTATTTTATTTATTTATTTTTAACATCTTTATTGGAGTAGAGTTGCTTTACAATGTTGTTAGTTTCTGCTGTATAACAGAATGAGTCAGCTCTATGTATACATATATCCCCTCCCTCTTGTGTCTCCCTCCCACCCTCCCAATCCTACCCCTCTAGGTGGTCACAAAACACCGAGCTGATTTCCCTGTGCTATGCGGCTGCTTCCCACTAGCTATCTATTTTACATTTGGTAGTGTATATGTGTCCATGCTACTCTTACTTCGCCCCAGCTTCCCCTTCCCCCTCCCTGTGTCCTCAAGTCCATTTTCTACGTCTGCATCTTTATTTCTGTCCTGCCCCTAGGTTCTTCAGAACCTTTTTTTTTTAAGATTCCATATATAGGTGTTAGCATATGGTATTTGTTTTTCTCTTTCTGACTCACTTCACTCTGTATGACAGACTAGGTCCATCTACTTCACTACAAATAACTCAATTTTGTTTCTTTTTATGGCTGAGTAATATTCCATTGTATATCTGTGCCACATCTTCTTTATCCATTCATCTGTCGATGGACACTTAGGTTGCTTCCATGTGCTGGCTATTGTAAATAGTGCTGCAATGAACATTGTGGTACATGTCTCTTTTTGAATTATGTAACCTGTAATATTTTTAAGAGATGGTAGGAAATGTTTTGAAATTAGGTAAAGTGGATGAAGGTATTGAAAATGCACAAAGATTGAAAATCATTGCCTAAGAGGGTTTGGAGGAGATCTGATTTTCTAGGTTAAGGCGTCCCCGTATATCAGTGTGAGGGTTCAAGTGAGGGGAAAGGTACAAAGACCTGTCAGAACATCTCTGTCCTAGTGGCTTAAACGAAGTGTGTAGTCACCAGTCCTTACACCTGGATTGCTTTTCTTCCTCCCTCACTCCCTGCACTTCTGTAAATACTTAGTGACTGACTACCAAGTCCTGGGCATTGTCCTGGGGGCCGAGTAGCCAGAAGAGGTAATGTCCCTGTCTCGGCACTTATAGTGGTTTTCGAACTCTTGCTCACACACTTAGTTAATCTTAGTTTCCTAACGTAGCTCCACAATGAAATCACTTTAGGCGCATATTGTAATTCATGCGTTGAGGTCTTTTTAAGGAAATCATTTATCTACCAATTTAGACAGCCTAATTGAGTGCATTATCTTTAAATTTTCAGGATAATGTTCTTTTTGGTTTGATCCTAGCCCTTAGATAATTCCTATATATGTTTATTTCCAGTCTTTTTCTCCTTCCCGTACATATCAAGCATCTCTTGATGTACTCTACGTGGAATTGCCTTTGATGTATTGATTTTTATTTACCTTTCTCTCTTTCTTTTTGAGACTTGAAATGGGATCTAATCTTAAACCTTGACTTGGAGCAGTATTTTTGAAAGCACAACAAGCATGCTGCTAGAGAATATTAGGTGATACAAAGGGAAACATTTTTTATTTTAACAGTCTTATTTTAATGTTTATGGTAAAATATACACATGAAACCTGTGATTTCATGGCTATTATAATCCGTCTCACATAGACTGGATGAATTAATGGCCCAGGTGGTTCTCAGATGTAGCAAAAAATCACGAAATGAGTATATGGATTACACATGTAGTGTTTAGTTGTAAAGGTGAATTAAGATATTCTCTGGTGTCCTCTGATGGTCTCCTACTCATATCATAACTCTCAAAAAAATTAAGCTTATGTGGTTTAGCCAGGAAAAAGCAATCTAGAAAATTCATCTAGGCAAATAATTTATTCAAATAACATATTCTGGTGTAGGTCAGGTTCTGGAAATACACAGATGAGTAAAATGTAGATCCTACCCTTCAAGACCACTGGTCTAACAGAGACAGGCACGTAAATTTAAAAGTGCAGTGTAGTATTGGAACAGTGCCGCAGTGGAAGTGTGTACTTGGCGAGTGGGTAGCTTGGAAAGATGGGTGCCGACTTACGGAGCAGTGAGGAAAGTCTTCATAGGGGAAGGGAGGCTTGCAAATAAGCAGCCTTGAGAGATGAGCAGAAAATTTACAGAGAAATAGATTGGGAAAGGGAGATCTCAGGTACGTGCCAAGGTACAGAGATCTAAGAGAACATGGTACATTGGGTTAACTGAGCAGCTTGATGTTTATGCTGATGTGGGGTGAGAGGTGAGGACAGAGTGGGGAGCCGGACATGAAAGCTCCTAAGTGAGCTGTGATGGCGTGGATTTAGATCTTAGTCTATAAATGATTATCAGCCTTTGCAAGATTTTAAGCAGAAGACTGCATGATGTCTGGGGCAGTGTAGAAGATGGAGCAGAGGAAGAAGAATCAGAGTCATGTTACAGCTAGTCATTGGGCAAAGGGATGATGGAGAGCAGTTGTGGGGAAGTTCAGAATTTCTGTTTTGTGTAGCTTCATATAATTTTCAGGAAATTAGATTACATATAGATTTCCCCCAGAATTTAATGTGTTGAAGGGGATGGTGGTAGGTGATTTGGAGCCAATATATGAAGTTTCTGAAGAGAATGGTATTATTCAGTCTGTTAGAAACAAGGTATTAAGTAACTTTCCCTATATAGTCTTAAAGGTAAATAGATTTTGGCTTATTTTCTGTTAAAATATATGTAGGCAGCATATAAAAGTTAAGTGGAGATGTGCTACTGATGAGACACACAGCTGCAAACAAGGTCTATTTTCTAATTAAAGTAGTACTACGGTAATACACTGCAGAGACAGAAGAATGAAATATTTAAACTTTTTTGCGACTAGTATCCTGCCAAGAAAATCTCAGATAACAGTATTATTTAAAGGGAATTGGGGGCCTTCTCTGGTGGCGCAGTGGTTAAGAATCCTCCTGCCAATGCAGGGGACATGGGTTCGAGCCCTGGTCCAGGAAGATCCCATGTGCTGCAGAGCACCTAAGCCCGTGCACCACAACCACTGAGCCTGCGCTCTAGATCCCGCGAGCCACAACTACTGAGGCCGTGTGCCACAACTGCTGAAGCCCTCACGCCTAGAGCCCGTGCTCTGCAACAAGAGAAGCCACCGCAGTGAGAAGCCTGCACACTGCAACAAAGAGTAGCCCCGCTCACCGCAGCTAGAGAAAGCCCGTGCAGCAATGGAGATCCAACGCAGCCAAAATATAAATAAATAAATAAACAAACTAATTTTTAAAAAAGTGTCCTTTAAACATGGGTTTCATATTCTACATATCTTAGTCGTGGCATATTGTTTACTTTTGTGCATATTTACTATTATACCTTAGGCCTGCTAGTCTTTGGATTTAGTGTGTATTGTTCTACCTTCCCAGGAAATGTATTAGTATGCCAACTTATTTTTGTACCTTCAGCATATCATAATTTAGAGTCACAGATCTGATGCTACCTGTGTATGTGAGTGCACTCATTTGTATCTGTATACATAGCCAGACCCTTAACACCAAACGTTCTATTTCATGTTCATTTGGGGAATATTCTCTTAATATTTGGGGGGATGTGGGTTAGTCAGCTAATTTGCTAACATTCAAGAGCCATGAGCTCTCAGCATTATCTTAACCTTTTAGTATTTTAGTCTAGCAAGAATTTCTGACTCTGATCAGGGAATTAACTATAACATCTTACCAGAATGATCCAGAAGCATCAAAAGAGGGAGTTCCTGCAAAGGGCACACAGAGATGTTCAAAAGGCAAGTTAACACTAACTGGATAGTGTGACTGCATAGTAGAAATGAGGGAGTTAGGACAGAAACAAAGGGCCACAAACGACCTTGAAACAACCCCTTGAAACTACCGTAGGTTCCTTTCCGCAAGGCTCAGTAGTGGTGACTGTAATGCAACTTAGTTTGTATTTGCAAAGATATTTTCTACAGCTCTCATCACTAAGTTGAAATTCTGTTTCATTCTTTTGAAAATTCAATTCCTTATTTCCGTATTTTCTACTTTGACACAGAAATCCCCTGCAAAGAAGCTGAGCCACGCAATTAGTAAATCCTTGGGGTGTGTACCCACCAGAGAACCTCCGCATCCTGTTTTTCCTGAACAACCAGAGAAACCACTTGACCTTGCAAATATAGTGTAAGTATATGATAGATGTGGATTATACTGAAATGGAAACCTTGCTGAATCCTTTGGGGTCAAAACCGAGTATCACCTAACATGAACATTGCACCTTCTGGTTTTCACGTTGCTTTTGGGGATCTTAAGACTTAAAGCTTTCAGCTCTTTAAATCACCGTGAATATCTGCATGGAGACCTATAGCTCCTGAGCCCTGAAGCTCGTGTTATGTAGCGTCCCCTTCAGACAGCTAATGCGTTACGAGTAATCAGTGTGCTGGGCTTAACAAGGTTGTCTTTTGTTATTTGTGTTCTTCCCTTAAATCAGCAGTAGAGATCTTTTCTTCTTTACAACAATTAATGACCATAGAGATTTTAAAAGTTAGTTTAGACCACATGGAGATGAAAATCAACCTAATTTGCTCTTTTTGTATTGAGAGAAAATTAGGAACGACAAGACTGAACTCTATAAGTAAAACTAGTGTTTTATTTTTATTTTCAGTTAAATATTCTTGCTAAGCAAAAGAAAGCTGGAGGGGAACAAAAAAACTAGAGAAATGAAGAGGAAAAGTAAGGAGGAGGAGAAGCAATGAAGGATAAGATTCAGCGTTTAGACTGATTTCTTCCCTCTGAATTAAATAATGATATTAAGTATACTCTGCTAGATAAAGTTTGTAGGTTTTTGATTATTAGTCTTGCTCAGGTATTTAGAAGTTTTTCTGTTGCAGTAGACATCCATTTTCTTTTACCTAGCTCAAATTACATAGTTTGATTAAATGAGCTCTTAGAGTTCTTGATCTTTTCTTTCTCTTTCGTTCAATAATTTTCAAAACTTTTATATTTATTAAAACAATACACACATATCGATTAAAAATTCAGTAATACAGAAAAAATACAACAATACGTATAACAAAACGCAGCACATCCTCCCCAGTTTCATCATGCTTTGTTTGGGTTTTTAGATCTCCTAATGGATACCTCCATATCGCTAAATAACATATTCAGAGCACCATTTCTTGGCTTATTGGTTTTGGACATTATTGAATTCCTTCTGTGGTGTAAGGGACCAACCTCATTTATAACTCTACATATCAACCCATCTCATCTTTTCATAATTATATCACCATTTTAAAAATTAGTTACCTTTGTACTCTTGAATGTAATTTTTAAACTTCTATTTCTTGTAACTTCTTTTGACTTCTACTGTGTAAACGAAGGACGTTTTAACCTTCTGTCTGCTTCTCCCTTCTCCCTTTGCCTCCTAACTTCTGTCATCTGTGCCATTACTTTTATCAAAGCTGATAATATTTCTGTTCTCTCCTATGATCATAACTAAGTCTTCTGAGGTTTATTAAGGGCTCAATCTAAAAGTTGAAAACCAAATAACAGCATTTTAAGTTAATTCCATTCATTACAAAGTCAAGCAGTGTGCTGTCATTCTGTGTACCCTTTGTTTAGTTCCAGTGTCACAATCCCTGTGCAGTTGTTCTCGTCAGAGTTCAGTGGGATCTTCTTTCTTATGTACCACAGATTGCTCAAAAGTGTGCCTGTTGACTTTATAACTGGACTGACTTTCCTGTACTGTTTTTGTGGTTGTTTTTCCTTCAGTTTCCCATTGATTTCTTCTCCCTGGGGAAAAAATAGGCTTTTCTCCCACTGTGTTCCATAGTAGATTTTACTTATTTGTGTGTAATCCATTTTTTGGTTAAATTTGTTAACCTCTTTCCTTTTTGGTTAGTGTTTTTCATTTGAATTAAAAAAAAAAAAAACAAACCCTTGCCTGCTCCAACATTGTAGTGATATTTCTCTCTCTTTTTAAGCTTTGAAGATGTCCTTTTTACATATGTCTTTAATTCATCTGGAACAAATGTTTGTGTGTGGTGTGATGTGGAATATCCAGTTTTCTCTCTCTCTCTGCATTTGAATAATAACTTGTCTCAATGCCATTTTTTGGATAATCCATCATTTCCCCACTTAACTACAATGCCACCATTGTCATAAATGAAGTTTGCAAATATGCACGGTCTGGTTTCTGGGCTCTTGATTCTGTTCCTTTGGTCAAAATGTCTATCACTATGCCAATATCATGCTATCTTAATTACTGTAAGGGATTAAGTCATCTTTTTTAGGAGTGTCTTGTCTATTCTTTGCCCTTTGCTCTTTCATATAAATTTGAGAATCAGCTTATTGAGTCCCTCATAAAATTTTGTTGGAGTTTTGATCAGAGATTTATTGAATCTAAAGATCAAATTGGGAAGAACAGACATCTTTATAATATTAAGTCTTCCATTCCATGAATGCGTTATGTCTTTCCATTTATTTAAATATCCTTTTGTGCCATTTAGTAAAGCTTTATAATTTTTCCTCAGAAAGGTCTTGTACATGTTAAATTAATTCTTGTGTACTTCGCATTTGTTGCTGCTGTTGCAAATGGTGCCTTTTTCTCTGCAGTTACTTTGAGATATAATTTACATGCAATAAAATGCTCCCACTTTAAGTGTACAATTCAGTGATTTTTGGCAAATGTGTACAGTCATGAAAATGGTATCTTTTTTGAATTATGTTTCTTAACAGTTTGTTGCTGGTGTTGGACACGCACGTTGCTTTTGTATTTTAATCCACTATGTAGTCTTCTTGTGTAACTTGTTCATAATTCTAGCAATTTGTACTCACATTCTTTTGGATTTTCTATAAATCATTATATCACCTGCAAATAATGATTGCCTTTTGTCTTCCCTCCCCTTCTTTATGCTTTTAAATATACTCATGTTTTTTTCTTTTGGTTTTATTATGCCGGCTAGAGCCTCCAGTGCAATATTGAATGCAATGGTCTGATAGGCATTCTTGCATTATTACTAATACCAAAGAGAACACTTTCAGCATTCATTTTAGCATGTCTTTTGATGTTGGTTTTTTGTAGAAACTGTTTATCAGATAAAAGAGGTTCCCTTTTATTCCTAGTTTGCTAGTGCTTTCTTTTTGTCATGAATGATGTCAAAGACTTTCTGCATTGAGATGATAGCCTGAGTTTCTTTATTCTGTTAATAGAGTGAATTACATTAACTGTTTCTTAAACAGCCCTACATTCCTGGAATAAACATAATTTGACCCTCCTTTTAATACACTGCTAGATTTCACTTGCTTATATTTTGTTTAGCTTTTTTCTATGTTTATGAGTTAAATTGTCCTGTAATTTCCCTTGATTTTTTTTGTTTTGTTTTTAGGACAAAGTTTGCCCAGTTTGCTGTCTTCAAATAGTTGAGGAGAATTCTCTCTTTTTATATTTTTTGGGGAGAGCTCGTTTAAGATTGGAATTATTTGCTCCTTGTATTTTTGGTAAAATTCACCAGTGAAGCTATCTGTGCCTTAAGCCTTCTTTGTGGGGAGATTCTTAACTATTAATTCCATTAATCGTTAAAAAAAAAAAAGTCTTTTAAAAAAAGTATAAGACTATTTTCATTTTGTATTTCTTTTTGAGTCACTTTGGAACATTTTATAGATGTAGGAATTTGTCAATTCCATCTAATTTTCAAAGTTATTGGCACAAAGTTTATAATATTTATCTATAGTATCTGTGCTAACATCTTTTTCATTCCTACTCTCACATATTTATAGTTTTTTCCTTTTTTTTTTTTCTCCTTGAAAAATCTTGCCATAGGCTTGTCCAATGTGTTAGGCTTTCAGAGGACCAACTTTTGGTTTTGATGATTCTTTTATTGTATGTATTGTATTTAAAAAATTTCATTTATTTCCATCCTTTATTATTTCTTTTGTTAAAGCTTCTTTGGGTTTATTTTGCTACTCTTTTTCTAACTTATTTAAAGATATGGTTAGCTTACTTATTTTAGGTTTTTTCCCCCAAATTTAAGCATTTAAGGCTATAAATTTCTCTAAGCACTACCTGAGTAATGTCCAAGTTTTATTATGTAATTTTTTTATTGTTTAATTCTAAATATTTTCTAAGTTCTGTTATTTCTTCTTTGAGAAGTATACTTTCTTAATTTCCAAACAAATGAGGATTTTCTAGTTACCTTTTTGTTATTAATTTCTAATTTAATTTCATTTTGGTCTGAAAAATGTTCTGTATTATTCAGTTCTTTCAAATTTGTTGAGACATGCTTATTATCTAGTATATGATCAAGTTTTTATTATGTTGCAAGTAAACTTGAAAACGTTTATTCTATGCTTGTTGGGTACAGAGTTTATAGTAAATGAATGTATGTCAATTAAGTCAAATTAGTTAACCATGTTACTCAAATCTTCTACAGCCTTACTTACTTGTTCAAAATTATACATATTTCACTAGGAAGTTAAAAATTTATTCTTAAGTAGTGACTTCCTTTATTCCTAATAATTCTATTTGTTCTCTAGTATATTTTATCTGCTAGTAACATCTTTTAAGATTTTTTGCTAGGTATGTACCTGGTATAACTTTTCCCATCCTTTTTCTTTCAATTTTTCTGTGTCCTTAGGTTTTCAGTATGTTTCTTATAAATTGTAAGCTGGATTTTAAGGGTGACATCCCACTCTAGTCACCCTTTCCCCCACGGGTAACCATTCTAATGTGCTTATTGTATATCCTTTGATTACAATAAGGAACAATCCTGTTCTTGAAAACTAGGTATTGTTTTCTATGTCCTTTTTTTAAAGTTTACACAAGTGGTATGTGAACCATGTTTTGCCTATCCATTCTCCCTGGGATGGACACCCGGGTTGCCTTCAGATCTCTGCCTCCACATATAATGCTGCAGTAAATGCCTCCGATGTTCCCCAAATGGAACTGGGTAAGAATTTCTTTATACCTAGAATACAGTTGTTAGGTGAAGGATTATGTACATCTTGACCAGAAGAAGTGTGTTGGGGAATCCAGTAGTTCAGTGTAGACTTTCAGTTAATCTCTCCATTTTAATTCATACCACACCTCTCCCTGGTGTGCCTGAGTTTGAAGACTTTCTGGCCAGTTTCACTAGCAGGTAACCTCTAGTTTCTTACCAGCCCAGAAAAAAAGTAGTCATCTGACT